GCAACTTGCAAAAAACTTCCGAACTGCCAGTTATCCGCCACTGAGACCTCTGAGGCCAATGTGCTCCTGCACTCTTGTTGGCATCTACATATACGCAAACTAGAGCTGCTGTATTCTGCAACCTGTTCACTCCAAGTTTTTTGAATACCAGATGGGCACTGATTGGTTTTCCTGTCAGAAAACATTCAAAGCATTTAATTTATGAAAGCCCCACTCAATGGTGGTACCCTCAACACCATCATCAAAAATTAAAAGGCATCTACACCTATTGGCACATTATGGTTTCTGTAGACCCGTTCACACTTTGGAGCAAAGGTTTGTTCCTGTGTTAGCATGTTCAATGCTTGCATCTTGGGCCACTTCTTGCATGCTGGGCGGGGCAATCCAAACCAAGTCCAAGGCAATGTCGTCACGAAGCTTGAAATTGGAGTTGCGATGGTCCCAGCCCGTGTTGATGTCGAAGCTGAAGACTGTGTGGCCTCTGCGCTGCATCTCCATCGAAAGACCAGCTTCTCCAGAGTGTTCTTCCGAAAAGACTTTGGCACGTTGTTCATGTGCTCAGTTCGTCTGTGAGCAAACATTTTTGCATGGTGCGCACAAATGCCTCAACAGCTTGTCGGGGATTTCTTTCCTCACCGCCACCATCCGGTAGGTCTCGGTGGTGACCAGGTTAAAGAAGACATTCTCGCCCTTCGGATGGGCATGTACTCCATCATTCAGTTGAAGTAAATATTCTCCTCTCTCCCCATAAACGGCAGACTACCATTCAACATCCCCACAATTGATAAGGTCTTGGCCCCAATCCACCTTCACCTTGAACGATTTCAAGATGGGCCTTCCAACATGGAGAGGTGCAACACTGTCCACCAGGAAGCATTCAATGCGGCCGCATCGCATCGCCTCCAAAGACAAAGAGCTTGGTGGTCTGGTGGAAGGTGTAGCGCTCCAAGGGCAATCATTTATCATACATGTATTCGATGATGATCATCAGCGTTTGTTGGCCACAGAACATGCTGCTTGCTCCTCTGTCTTAAATGCCACACCATCCTTGCTCAATCAACATGGGGTTCCCCGTTCTGGTTGAGGTCGTGCATCATGAAAGCTTGCCCAGTGTTCTTGGTGGCAGTCTCCGTTTTCGCACGCTTGGGGGACTGTGAACCCTTGTTCTGAGGGCAATTGGCAGCTGCATGCCCTTGCAGGGCCACGGCGGGATAATAGCTTCGTGCAGCCAGGTGGGTCGCACAGGCTTCTTCCAGCTGTGGGTTGAAGTCATCCGTCCATGGCTCCTCCTGGTAGTAGAGCTCATCATCCGGGCTGCCACAGGTGGTTTCAGGATCCTTATACTTTTCAAAGGGCTGCTCATCCTCATAGAGCTCGTCCTCCAAAAGATAGACATCTTCATTTTCCTTGGTGTCCAAATCACATTCTTCAATAGTGGAGCCATGTTGAGGCTTCCGGGATACCATCTTTATTGCTTTTTGACGAGGTTCATGGCTTTTTCCACCTTAGTCAGCTCCAGTGTGCTTCCCACCTGTGATTGTACAAGATATTTCTATTCTTGCGTCAAGTTGCTTCTTCGAAGGAATATCCATCCGACCCGGAGACACCGTCAGGTTTTTTGACCCCGTATTTTTTCTATCTGCAATAAGAAAAGAAGGATTGCTTTAACTTCCTGCCTAATCCGTCGGAGGCCTCGGAAACGGTCTTAACCATATGTTCCACTTGCTTCCAGGCCGTGCCATGCAAACTCGTAAGCAAGTTCAGAATCGCCTCCTTATCCTTGCCTTGGATAACAAGTTTCTTCTTATACAGCATAATTCGTTATTTCCATTCTCTATAATTCGCCACCTTGTTGTTGAAGATGAGGATAAAAGTGTCTTTTATGGTCTCGATGATGCCACCAGCCATGGAAAAAGTAATCGAAGGACCATTCGTTATAGATCGTCGGTCGACTACAGCTCACAGCCTTTTCGGCGTCGGAGTCGTTAGTGGCCTGCCGCTGGGTTTAAGACGAGCAAGTTATATGGCGCACAATTCACAAAATTTAACAAAGAATGCTAAGAAATCAGCCATAATCAAAATCCGAGAAAAAATACTAGGTATAAATAATCGTAGTAAAAAAAACAATTAATTAATATAAAATCCTAAGAATTTTTATTTAACAAAGAAAAAAAAAAAATTAATATAAAAGAATACTATTCATTCAAATACATTTTTTATACATTTTTAATATATATATTTACATACTTAAATTATATATTTACACTTAAAAACTAACACTCAAATACTTTCATATTTTTTTTTAAATACTTATATTTATATAATTTAATTTAAAAATTTCAATATCATTATAATAAATATAAAAATTCAATATTCAAAAAAAGAAAAATAACATCTTTCATATTATTTTCGAAAATTAATTAAACCATTCAATTTTATAGAAAAATATATTAAATTATACTATATGCATTCTCAATAAAAATAAATAAAAAATAAAATATATTATATTAAATAATATCCAATTTAATTTTAATTTTAAAATGAATTTTCCAATTTTAATTAATATGGATATACATATCAAATATATTAACTAATAATATAATCTATATAATCAACACATTAATTATAATACATATTCTTAGCATCAAACATATTAAAAATAAAAATGCTCTAAGCCCCGGACGGATATGCAAACGTTTGCCGAGCTCATTAAACTAGCAGTCGAAGAAATCCATATTACCAATGAAATTTCAACGTTCATCAAATGGATCCATTGTCATGGACGTGACCGTGTGTCCAAGTGTGCGTCCCATGCATCAAGCCGGGGAATATGAGCTTTTCGAAAAAGGTCTAAGATCTCATCCGTTGCCTCCCTTTCTATTAGCCTCGGAACCCGATCTTTTTCAGCCTTTGTTTCCAGGTGCTCCCATCACAAAAAGACAATCCTTTCCTGATTTCGGCGAACTTGTTGCGGTGGATACTACAGGGAGCGTGCGTATTTGTGAGGGGCCGGTGGCACAGTACAATTGCATTCATGAAGTTGAAGCCCGCAGAAGAAAAGGTGACTACGGCTGCCATGGCAAGGGTACGCTAGCAAATTAATAAAACCTATGGAGATGGGAGGACTGCATTCATGAGGAAGAACATCTGCAGACTTCGCAGCAGAACTGCCGCAGGCCGAAGCTGAAGCATTCTGGCTGGGGACAAAGGATTCGCGGACGATGAAGGTAGAGTAGAGACCGTGCACAATGTCGGAAGACAGCAAGGGCATTGGGCAAACAATCCGCTGCCTGCCACTTCAAGTCCAGCAAGGGCAAACGATGGATGGATCTCATGGTGATCTCCCCACGCACTGCAGCTCTCATCAACACATGATCATGATTGACCCCGACATTCTGCAGCGTGTATTCGGCCAAGATGGCTCCTCCGAACCTTCAACGCAGAACCTGAGCCTCGTGCTTGGAACGTTGCTGCAAAGAACTCTGAAGGCCTTGAGGATCGAAATGCCGCCTTCTATTGCCAATGTGCTGACGGGAAGCCAGTGAGCCGCCTGGAGAGCTGGGCCGCGAAGACCTTTCCTCTCGTGTTTGCCGCAAAACTGATGCTCTGCAAGCTTGCCCACCTCACCACCATCCCTCGGCAGAGCAGTTTGGCTCAGTGACCAAATGCCTTCCTGAGCAACGGAGAAATTCTGCCATCGCGGGCAGTCCACTATCGACAGGCTTCGAAAGTGGCAGGGATGCAAGGCAAAAAATGATTGAGGGTTCCCTCGCAGAGAGACGTTGCTCCGCTGCCAATGTAAAAATGACCTCGTGCGGATGTTTTCTGCTGCGCGAGCCACGATAGTGGCACGGAGTTTTGATGGGCTGGAGTGACATGTGATTGGATGTCCATGCTGCTCAAATCCTTGATTTCACAGTGGACAAGTGCAGGTCTTGGATTGACATGGGCACAGTTTTTTCATTGTCTTTGGTCTTGGTGGATTTTCTTGCTTTTCTTCCCAAACAAACATTTTTATCTGCCTCTTATGAACCATGCCAGACTCTCCCAAAACTACTCTTTTTGTCTGCTCAAAACAGCATGGTGCCCTGGTCTCTTTCGCGCTGAGCCTCAGTGCCAAGCAAAGCATCCTGGAAGAAGGCCGAGTGGGTTGGAGGCCATCGCTTCTAGGTTTCAGGCCATCGCTATTAGAAAGAAAAAACAATGAAAAGGAAGAAGGTGTCAGTGGTAGGGAATCTACCGCCTGAAGCACCCGCGGCCTTCCACAATCAACGCAAGCTAGGATAAGGTAATGTCTGTTATTTGGGCGCCCCGCATTCTCCATGTGCTGGTAGATAATGGTAACGGCCAACCTGATTGATTCAGGACGAGCTGCATCACAAAACAAACTCTCACCTAAACAAGAAAGCCAAGAATGCATTCTTGCAATGCCGATAAACGCTGATGGGGACCTCGACCATTTTATTTTCAAGAATGTTGGGCTGCCAGGTCAATCTGCAAATTGGCTGAAGACATAGATCTAATTTTGACTGAAAGCATTGGCGATTAGGCCCTTTAGCTTTGCCATGGCAACTTTAACTTTAGTTCCACAAACTCCTTGGAGCCTTGCAGGATGCCAGTGCCGCTGCCAATGGCACCCATGAAATCTGCGACGATGGTCAACATGCCTCGGTCATGGGACATGATGGCCACAGCACCACAAATACAAGGCCTCCAACTTAAGAGCCATGGCCTCCAACCTGCTAGCAATGGCATGTTATCTGCTTTTGGTTTCTTTGGACCTCTAGACATTTCACTTTAATTCTTTCCGCGTCAAGCAAGACTGTTTAGACTGTTTGATTCGATTGCTTTCTCCCCTTCTTTTCTAACAGGGCGCTCCTGTGAAATCTGGCCACTTATGGGCCATACCATCTCTGCTCTTTTGGCAGGAAGCCAAGGCCAACCTGAACACATGTTCAGTCCATCCTGGAGTGCGCCACGGCCAAAATTTCTGCCTAATACTAGGCTCCTTCACTCTCAATGAACTCTGCTGCATCCTCTGCAGCTTCTTCGCCTCCTCCATGACAAACATCGAACACACAATCAGCAAAGACCTCCGAACTCTCCTTAGTTCAGAGTGAGATTCAGAACCAACAGAGAGTGTCACAAAAACAACTTAAACAGCCAAGAAATACACCTTGCAGCCTTGCAGTGCATGATTCGGCCATGTGTTTCCCACAAATCTTTGATGCTTCTTGTTCTTCTTCTTCACTGCAATCGTGATGATCATGGTGATCTTCCGGCACACTCAGCAATGATGCTTGGTCCATTGAACGGAGGTAGTCTGAAGCATTTTGACTGCCGCCCAAGTCTTGCCATCCCTGGGCAAATAAACAGGCTTGCTTTGCCCTCAAGCCCAAAGTGATCCTTAAGTTTCCCTAAAATCTAGGAACCAAATGAATAGTGCGAGCGCTTCTTCAAGGGGAAGCTTCCTTGAAGAAGCGTGAGCTATCCTGCGTCCATACTAGGAGCTTAAGTAAGGTACTATAGCTACCTCTTCTATTAGCTACTTCTAGCTACTACGTCCCTCTACGGCCTGCCCCGCCTACCCCCCCACGGCCTTAAAAAATTCACTGTTTCACTCCGAAAGCCGAGGTGCTGTGGGAGTCTGAAATTCCGAATCTGTCCTCATCTGCACGAATCTCTTTTTGGAGTGAGATAAGAACCTGAGCGAAACAGCGCAATTTCCGCCAAGTTTGGCAAAACTTGGTCGTTGGTAGGTCAAATTGTTATTAGGGTGAAGGCCATCGCTACTAGGTTGGAGGCCATTGCTACTAAGTTTGGCCCAAGGAACAAAACCTTGCTGTGATTGGTGTGGTTTGCAGGGCCTTCGACAGAGATATGCTGCCCCAGTTCCCCGCCAGCAAAGTCCATGTCAGACTTATGAAACATCTTCATTTTGAAGTCCAAATGCCTCCCTGGGCGGCAGATCACAGAGAGGAGAGCCACTTTCCTTGCACCCTGCTTGGTGTTCATCTTCCTCAGGTCTAAAAGGATTCCCACAACCAGCTGTCAGTTGGACAAAAGATACTTCTTCACAGAGTAAAAAACATGAAAATTGCCCAATCCAATGCCTAGCTTCAACATAACACTGGATCCAAACTTTGGTCTTGTCCCATACTGCTTGTGCAGCTCTGTGATCTCAAAACCGCTCATGAAAGCGTTGTCGTAGAGCACGAACAAACTTCCAGATTTGGCTTCCTGCCTCGTGCCGTGCCGAAGCATCTAAAAACAACTTACCACGTTTTCCCGTGCCCCGGTATGCCCGGGTAGTTTTCAAAACGGATGGGCGTGGGGACAAAATTGCGTTGCATCATATTGCCGAACTGTCACACAACACATCTCAAGCAAGGCACCAAGCATGCTCTGGACTTTTCTTCTGACGCCATTTGCACGAATCCGAGGTCAGCTCCAGTGCTTGACGACTTGAATGGTTGGATCGGTCTTGCAATAGAAGCGCGTGAGTGAGGAACTTTTTGCCTGCGTAACGCGCAAAGACTTGCCACAAGATTGGAGCCTCCTGCAAACCACGTGCTGAATGAAACTCCGTCCTTGGATTTTCGATACTTTAGTCCGGTTACACCCGCTATTGTTGCCCTAGCATCGCTAGGCCACGCACCACCATTAAAAACAAAACAATGAGAAAACATGTGTTCGAACACTAATGAACTCTTGCTTCTGGACTGTACGCTTTCTTTCGACAAATTGCACTTTCAAGCTGAGCATCTTCTTGCTGAAGTTGAAGGCCAAAAACGTCCCGACGTTCGCCACCGTATAGTGGGCTCCCTGAAAGGTCTCTATGTGTGGATCACCCTGCCCAGTGGCAGGTGTGAGGTTGCTTGCAGGGATGTCTGGAGGCGGCGCCGGCGGCGTCTCAGGGCAACACTCAATTAGCAGGTTGTAATTGCCTCGAAACTTGCGGAGAATGTGCAAACATTTTCTTTGTGTACTTTGTTTGTTTTCTGAGAACTTGATATATATGACTAGGGAATATAGTGCACTCAGGTGCGCACTCATACAACGAATTGTTGCGGCTGGTCGGAAGGTCTATTGAGAAACACAACAAAGACTGCCTCAAAACAAACATTTCACGGCAAAATTGTTCATCCAAATGACTGATTCCGCAGCCAGCTGTCGGCCGTGAGATGCAAAACTGCGTATTCTGTTCCATACAAGTATCCACGTCACGACATTCCTGCAGACCATCTGGAGAGGTACGGCAACCTGAAGCTCTTCGACTTCAGCATCGAGACTTCAAAGGACAAAGATCCTGAATTCTACCCTTCTACTCTGCTACATGTAAATCAGCATCTTCATGTTTTTCCGCCCCGGTCAGGTGATGGTTGTCAGATTTTATGTCAGCTGCATTCTGCCTCGCCCGCCTCCTCCTCACCTCAACCGCGAGGGCCGTGCGGCAGTGTCCCCCCGCCAGACCTCAACTGCAAGGGCCGCATGGCAGTGTTCCGCGTTGGACCTCAACCGCGAGGGCCGCGGATCTCAACCGCGAGTTCCGGCTGGCAGTGTCCTGCGCCGGACCTCAACCGCCAGCTCCCGAGCGCACTGGGCGCTGGCACACCTCAACCAACACACAATCACAAACGCACAACCACAACCACAACCACAAACACTTCCACAAACACACAATCACAAACACAACACACAACTGACATGTCATGGTGGGGATCACTCGAAGTAAAGCAGTTATTTTACTTCATCCTGCCAAGGAACTCTGGTAGTAACAGAATGTTCCTCCAATGCACCCCTCACTCTGTTCGCTACCTCCTTTGACACAGGCGCCGATGACCCTCACATTGGGGGGCGTCACAAAGCAAATCTGGTTTCGATCCTGTGATTCGTCAGGGACTTCTTCGAACTTGCAGGTGGTCAGTGGCACTCCTCACGCGGGGAGAAGAAGGGTAGCTGGAGGCCATCGCTACTAGGGTGGAGGCCATCACACCACTAGGGTGGAGGCCAAGGCCATCACACCACCATCGCTACTAGGGTTTTACTTGTAGCTGGAAAGCAGGAAAGCCCTCGTGCTATTCAAATTATGTTCTGCAACTGTTGTCTATAACATTTATTTGACTTTTTCAAACATCAATCAGTGTTTTTTTTCAAGAAAAGTCCGAAATCCTATGTGGGTGGGGCAAGAGGATGGACCACTTGCATTCCCAAACCAGCACTTCGCATAGTCCACCTGGTTGTCTTCAGAGTTCGTGCCTCGGTGTTCGAACGTCTTATTCGTCCTCCGAAAAGAAAGACTTGAAGAGTACAAACTTTGAAACCAAAAACAAGATGAGCAAAGTTGCATGTGCACGGCGTTCCAGTAAACGATCTTCCATTGCAGTTCATTGCATTTCCACCACCAATATTGAAGGGATCGTTGGTGCTGGCGTTGCAATTCTCACTGGCTTTGAAGACATTTGCCTCCATGTGGTGCAAAAGAAAAGCAACGGTTGAGAACTCACTTCTTGCTTCATGCGTTTCAAAGAGCGAGCGTAACGTTTTCATCAAAACAACCTGAACGACCAAATGACCCTTAATTATCTTGACAAGAGACCCCAAACAGTGTGAGCGAGGTCTGTAAGCAGAAAGTCTAGAGATCTAGACGCATTGGGGTCCAGAGAGGTGATGGTGGTGATGAAGTGAAGGTGGGTGTGAGTGAGTGTGGGTGAGAGGGAGCGTGAGTGTGCGTGAGAGTGTGGGTGAGAGTGAGAGTGAGAGTGAGTGCGAGTGTAAGTGAGCGTGAGTGAGAGTGAAGGCGGGTGTTAGTGAGTGTGGGTGAGAGTGAGAGTGAGCGAGTGAGAGTGGGAGAGTGAGTGTGAGGGAGTGCGAGTGTGAGTGAGAGTGAGTGTGGGTGAGAGTGAGTGTGGGTGAGAGTGTGAGAGTGAGAGTGGGAGAGTGAGTGAGACTGAGAGTGGGAGAGTGAGTGAGTGTGATAGCATCTGACAGCACAAAGTACTGCGCACGAAATCTGCACTTCGAGGTTCACCAAGTGCTGCGCCTGCCACGAAATCTGTACCTCGGGGTTCACCAAGTGCTGGACCTGCCACGAAATCTGCATATCGAGGGTCACAGAGTGCTGTGCCTGCCACGAAATCTGTACCTCGAGGTTCACCAAGTGCTGCACCTGCCACGAAATCTGCACATCGAGGGTCACAGAGTGCTGTGCCTGCCAAGAACTCTGCACTTCGAGGTTCACCAAGTGCTGCACCTGCCACGAAATCTGCACTTCGAGGTTCACCAAATGCTGCGCCTGCCACGAACTCTGCACTTCGAGGTTCACAAAGTGCTGGACCTGTCACAAAATCTGCACTTGGAGGTTCACCACGTGCTCCACCTGCGACGCTGCCACGAAATCTGCAAACGAGCCACATGTCCAAAAGTCACGATTCACTGCACCTGTCACGAAATCAGAGCTCTTCGACGATCACCACCATATCCAAAGCACTGCGCCTGCCACGAAAAGTGCATTTCGAAGTAAATCACCTCCGATCCCTTGCACCTGTCACGAAAAGCCGACTTTGGAGCACCAAAACACGAGGTTTCCCTTGCGCCTGCCACAAAAAGTGACCACGATGTGCGAAAATGCGCGCGGCGCCACAACGAGAGCGCAGTCGCTAGAAGCACCCGCCGCGGGCCCTCAGGATTCTGCGAGCCTGCGCAGTCGAAACGCACATGGTCACGCCCGCGCGCTTCAGCGATCTAAGCATCACCTGCCTTTCCACTACCGCACTGTTTAGGGAAACAAGAATGCTTCTATTTGTTTCAGCCCGCGCCTACTATTATTGCGTGTAAATTTATATTTATATTTAGCCCGCTCTGCACCGGGAGTAAGCTCCTAGCTACTGGACGCTACTACATATGGACGCAGGATAGTTCACGCTTCCTTGAAGAAGCGCTTGCACCAATTATTGGGTTCCAATCTTCAGGGAAACTTAACTTCATTGAGAGAGCAACTTCTTCTTCCAAAAACGGTTGGTACCTTGCGTTGGGTCTTCATGATGACTGTCCAGGCCCCAAAGCGAACTCTGGCAGCCTGGACCTACTTCATCAGATGTTACTTATTAAGTTTTCTCTAACAAGTTAGGAACCAAATCAGTGCGAGCGCTTCACGGAAGCTCCCCCGCTACGTGAGCTATCCTGCGTCCAGTAGGTAGCTTCTTAGTAGCTATGCCAGGAGCCCCTAGTGGCGTGCTTGCTCCTAGTAGTGATGCCAGGAGCCCCTAGTAGCGTCCTTGCTCCTAGTAGCGATGCCAGGAGCCCCTAGCGATGGCAGGGGCCGCTGGTAGCATATTTTCCCGAGAGCGTCTGCGAAGGGTTCTTCGTAAAAAAACATCTGCAGAACTACACCTCCTCTACATCTTCTCACATCTTCACCTCTGTACAATCACGTTCTCACCTCTATCTCTGCTCATCTTCACATCTGCACATCTACATCTCTGCTCATCTTCACATCCTCACATCTACATCTCAGCTCATCTTCACATCTGCACGTCTACATCTCTGCTCATCTTCACATCCTCATATGTACATCTCACATCCTCACCTCTCGCTCTTCTTAACTTTCTCTCTTAAGGCCGGGGGCAGTGCCGCCGGACCACCGCGAAACGCAACCCTCTGCGGAGATCGTGCGTGTCGAGTGCGCGAAATGCAGGCGCGAGTGCGATTTGTCTCTGTCCGTCGCAACCCTCTGCGGAGATCGTGCGTGTCGAGGTGCGCAAAATGCAGGCGAGAGTGCGATTTGGCTTTGTTGCGGGCAACCCTCTGCGGAGATCGCGCGTGTCGAGTGCGCGAAATGCTGGCGAGAGTGCGATTTGTCCCGGTCGCGGGCAACCCTCTGCGGAGATCGTGCGTGTCGAGTGCGCGAAATGCAGGCGAGAGTGCGCTTTGTCCCGGTCGCGGGCAACCCTCTGCGGAGATCGTGCGTGTCGAGTGCGCGAAATGCAGGTGAGAGTGCGATTTGTGTCTGTCCGGCGATGAGAACTGGCGACTTTCTAGTACAACTTTAGTGCGCGGAGCAATCTGTGGAGCTGGAAGATGCGACATGGCGACTTTGTAGTACAACTTTAGTAAGTGGAGCAACCTGTGGAGCTGACTTTGTAGCCCAACTTTAGTACGCGGAGTATCTGGGGAGCTGGAAGATGAGAAGTGGCGACTTTCTAGTACGACTTTAGACGCGGAGTATCTGGGGAGCTGGCAGATGAGAACTGGCGACTTTGTAGTACAACTTTAGTACGCGGAGTATCTGGGGAGCTGGAAGATGAGAAGTGGCGAGTGAGCAATCTGTGGAGGTGGAAGATGCGAACTGGCGACTTTGTAGTACAACAGTACGTGGAGCAATCTGTGGAGCTGGAGGCTGAGAACTGGCGACTTTGTCGTGCAACTTTAGTGCGCGGAGTATCTGGAAAGCTGGAAGATGAGAACTGGCGACTTTGTAGTGCAAGTTCAGTACGAAGAGTATCTGGGGAGCTGGCGACTTTGTAGTACAACTTTAGTACGCGGAGGAAGCTGTGGAGCTGGAGGCTGAGAACTGGCGACTTTCTAGAACAACTTTAGTACGCGGAGTATCTGGGGAGCTGGAAGATGAGAACTGGCGACTTTCTGGCAATCTGTGGAGCTGGAATCTGAGAACTGGCGACTTTGTAGTACAACTTTAGTGCGCGGAGTATCTGGGGAGCTGGAAGATGAGAAGTGGCGACTTTCTAGTGCGACTTTAGTACGCGGCGTATCTGGGGAGCTGGCAGATGAGAACTGGCGACTTTGTAGTACAACTGTAGTACGTGGAGCAAGCTATAAAGCTGGAAGATGAGAACTGGCGACTGAGCAATCTGTGGAGCTGGAAGATGCGAACTGGCGACTTTGTAGTGCGTGGAGCAATCTGTGGAGCTGGAAGCTGAGAACTGGCGACTTTGTTAGTACGCGGAGGAAGCTGTGGAGCTGGAAGCTGAGAACTGGCGACTTTGTAGTGCAACTTTAGTACGCGGAGTATCTGGGGAGCTGGAAGATGAGAACTGGCGACTTTCTAGCAATCTGTGGAGCTGGAAGATGAGAAGTGGCGACTTTCTAGTACGACTTTAGTGCGCGGAGTATCTGGGGAGCTGGCAGATGAGAACTGGCGACTTTGTAGTACAACTTTAGTACGTGGAGCAAGCTGTGGAGCTGGAAGATGAGAAGTGGCGACTTTCTAGTACAACTTTAGTGCGCGGAGTCTCTGGGGAGCTGGCAGATGAGAACTGGCGACTTCCTAGTACAACTTTAGTACGTGGAGCAAGCTGTGGAGCTGGAAGCTGAGAAAAGGCGACTTTGTAGTATAACTTTAGTACGCGGATGAGTCATCTCTCGCGGCTGAGTTATCTTTCGCGCCTTGGCGCAATCGACTAGTTTGTGTCGCGGGTCGTCCGTCGAGACTGTTCGGGACGAAACTGCGACATCATCGCTTAGACGACGGGATCCGCAACTGCCGGAAAAAAGGGACGTGACGTTGATATGTGTCTACTTCACCTGCGCGACAATCGACGCGCAGTTGAAACGCACGAGTCACTTGTCCTGATCGTAATGTCGTTTGCTCTCAGGTCGCGGTGTTGGTGCTTTGAAGGGCCTATCCGCGAGGGTGGAGTGGAGATGATGACTTGAAGCACACTTGCTGCGTACTTTCTCTGTGTCTGATACTTGAAGTCAAACTGATTTGCTTTGAGCCTCTGCCCGCAGGATCTCTACTTGCCGCTTGTTTTTGGGACCAGGATGAAGCGCACACAAATCCATTTTGTGTGCGCTTCGACCTGCTGACGGTTTACTTCGTTTTTGTCTTGAAATGAGACTGACTTGTCTTCAGCCGTTTGAAGAGCGACTGAATTGTGACGAGCCTAAGATATATCTTTTCTCTCGCCTCTGTCCATTTACGTCTTCGCACGCTCGCATCCATACATCTACCTCTCCACCTCCATACATCTACACATCTATATGACACCTGCACATCCACACTGTCACTCCTTCACGTCCATCCTTTCTTTCTTTCTTTCTTTCTTTCTCGATGTCTTTTCCACAGTACTGGAATAATCACATGTCTCGCTCTCGGGCCACCCGTCGTCTAGTTGAACTGTGAAATACAGACTCCTGGCGCGAGCTGGTAGCCATGCCAGGAGCCCCTAGTAGCGTCCTTGCTCCTTAGCGATGCCAGGAGCCCCTAGTAGCGAAAAACAAAGAAACATGGAACTTGTGTTCAAACTTGGTCTGGCTTGAGAAATGTCGGGACTGGTTTCGTTGTCATCTGAACATTTCACACTGGTTCCTTGCTATGGTGTCTAGGAGGGTCTGGGAATTCTACAGAAAAAGTCACTCAGTTTCAATCTTTTTCGTTGAGACTAGTGGTGTTGGGGGAGGGAAGATGGAGGGGAGCGAGACGGGAGGTGCATGGGTGGGGAACGAGAGGCGGATGGATGGGGATGGGGGTGGGGAGGAGATGGAGGGGAGCGAGACGGGAGGCGGATGGATGGGATGGGGGTGGGGAGGGAAGATGGAGGGGAGTGAGACGGGAGGCGCATGGTTGAGGGAGGGAAGATGGAGGGGAGCGAGACGGGAGGCGCATGGGTACGGGGCTGGGGAGGGAAGGGTGGAGGGGAGCGAGACGGGAGGTGCAGTGGGGACGGGGCTGGGGAGCGAAGATGGAGGGGAGCGAGACGGGGCGAAGATGGAGGGGAGCGGGAGGTGCGTTGCCATGGGCGTGGACGGGTCTGGAGAGGGAAGATGGAGGGGAGGGAGACGAGATGGGAGGTGCATGGGTGTGGACGGGGCATGGGTGTGGACGGGGCTTGGGAGTGCGTGGGTGTGGACACTTGCGCGGCTGATATGCTAGTTACGAGGACATGGTTGCGGGTCAGTGCACAAGTAGAACGAAGCATGGGTGGGGTCAGTGCTGCTCCATGCTTCGCGGAAGCCCGTTGGGAGGTGAGTGGAGCTGTGTTGCGGGGCTGATACGATGGTGTTGGGCATCCAAAATGTGCACAATGCATGCGCCAGACAGTCAAGTCATGGCCAACACGGCAGGATTGTTGCGCGCCAAAAGCGCAATGCATGAAATTGGATGGTTGGAACGAACCATGGAGGGGGCTGATGCTGCTCCATGCTTCCTGGAACGGTTGTCAGAAGCCATGTTGCAATCGTTTTATGACCGTTTTGGAGGGTGTTCAAAACTGACCAAGGGGTGGACGGGGGTGTATATGGCAGACAGGGGTGGACGGATGCGCACCAGAACCGCGATGCTTGAAATATCATGGTTGCCACGAAGCCTGGAGGGGGCTGATGCTTCCTTTTGGCCTGCTAATGTGTTTGTCTATTTTTCCTGGGTTGTGCGCTTCTTTTTGCTTTTGGGTCCGCGGGCTCACCTTGTTTTTAACTTTTACATTTCATGTGCACTTTCAGAATCTCGTTGTCGAACAGGCCTGGCTGAAGATCTGCATCATCATCGAAGGCTCCTAAAAACGGCAGAACCATCGCCCAGCAAAGCGTTTTTCATTCATTTTTTTGGGGGGTAGGCCGCTAGGAGGTAGGAAGTAGCTAGGTAGGTAGCTAGTAAGGGAGAAGCTAGTACCACAAGTAAGCTATTACATATGGACGCAGGATGGCTCACGCTTCTTCAAGGAAGCTCCCGCCGCCCCAAAGGCGGTGGGGGAAGCTTCCTTGAAGAAGTGCTCGCACTATTCATCTGTTTCCTAGGTTTTTTAGGAAACTTAACTAGTAGCTTCTTGCTACTAGTAGCAATTAACTACATTGTTGTTTGAACATGAAAATTCTCTGCACATTGGGTAGGACAAAACCACTACGACCTCCGGCAGCTAGACTTCCACAGAAACGCTAAGGCCGGTGCCTCACATGAGTCTCCATTGCCAAGGGCTCCAGTCCCAAGCAAGGACCAAAACCATAGGCGGAGCAGCATGGCATGGAGGTGGAGAGGGTAAAGATTTTGAGCCCTTTGTAAAGCATAGCGGCAGCAAACATCTTTTACCCAAGAAATGCACTGTTGAATCAGTGGTCGTCAATGGTTCTATGAACACGATCACCTAAACATCCATGGATGTTCATTTGTCGAAACAGGGGCATTACTTGTTCATTCCTTACCTTTCCTTCTTCAAGTGTAAACGATATGACTCCAAATGTATTACGACATATGACTCATTCGACTCCCGGTTTCGTTGCTGCTGAATTGCCAATGCACATGCCACCGAAAGCAGCAGCGATGGGCACGTACCTGGTGCGAGGGAGGGGTCCTAAGGCGTACTTCAGCTCCCTGAAACATCGTCCACTTTTGGAGGCTTTTATCAGACTGCCTATTGTCTTGGGTAGGCCTCTCTAGAAACTCACTTTTGAATTTCACCAACTTGACTCCAAGCGTACCAGAAGTCAGGCTGAAAACGACTTTCGTGTGACGTCTGTTCTGTACCAATCACATTCTGTGTGTGCTCTGCTTTGGAGCAAAAAGCAAGTCGTTCCCTGAATTCCATCCTTCGAGTGCTCGGTCGTCAAAAGCATTCCTCCTACTAAGACAGGCTTTTGGTAGACTGCATTCTATCCGCTACTTAGTTTTGGAGAGATCCTTCGCTGAGATACTTTGTCTCCCAAAGTCTAGTTCTTTAAGGAAGCTTTTCCCATTCCCCTTCCCTAATAGGTTGGAGGCCATTGTTAGTAGGAGTTCTTTTAGGAAGCTTTCCCGTCTTCTCTTTCTTCCCTTTCTTTAGAGCAAAGAGTGTGTCCTAAGGTAGATAGTAGCGGCTTGGCGAACTTCAATGAGTTACCTAGGTCTGTTCCTAGTCATCTGCTGTCGTGTAGTCACTTACAGTCTTATACCCCCTACCGTTCTTATACCCCTTCATCACCTCATATCACCTCATGGCCTGCTCCCCTAATAACAAGACCATTCTGATTAGCAAGGGCAGCGAGGGGGAATCAAGTGCAAAACCCAAGGTGAGCAAGCAAATGTTCGCTACCAGGGGTTCCTGGCATCGCTACGAACGGAGCGATCGGACGCTACTAGGGGCTCCTGGCCGTACTACTAGGAGCAAGTAGCTATTAGGAACAAATGCATCGCTTCTAGTTTGCCAGTGCCTTACTAGTAGGAGCAAGGATGCTAGTAGTAACAAGAAACTCCAGGCTTCGGTCTTGGTGATCCTGGGTCTCTTTTTGGCGGAGGAAAGCAAGTTGAGCGGTCAGTGATTCTGCCATGGCGCCTTACGGACCAGATGGAGCCCCACACACTTCGAGTCTTTTCAGTCTGTTTCAGCCTTGTCTTGGCGGCCATCGCTATTCGGTTGGAGGGTGACCAAGCCGCCTTCGGCATTCTTGCAGTGGATAGCCTTTCTGGAACTACGCATGCCTGATTGCCATTCTGGGTTTGTATGCCTTACCAGGCTTTCACCCCAGACTTGGTGAGTTTCAGCAGTTTTGGAAGCCAAGGGTGCGCCTGCTCCGCTTCAGATTAATTTGGATGGAGACTTGACATGTCCTCATCTTGAATACCTTGCCCTAGCGTTGCTAATGAGGCAGTGAGGGTATTTCTGAAGAGTGATTTTCTTAGCTTTTATTGTCTTGGGACTCGGGACTATCCCATAGGTACCCCAGGTGACGGGTCCTTTTTCAGGTCTTGACCTTTCTTGGATCTTCCAATCCTTCCCTCCTTCCCAATCGGCGGTGTCGCAGAAGGCAAGAAGTTCGAACCTGGACAGCCCTCGAATCGAATGACTCAGAGCTGAGCTGTGTGTTGCCGGCTCCCTGCAAGTAAAACTGCAAGGTCCCATGAAATAGTAAAGTTAGGCCTTGCCCATCTCCCATTGGGACGGTACGATGGAAGATAGGCAAGGCCTAATCTAACTAGCAATGGCCTCAAGCCTATTAGCCATGGCCTCCAACCAAATAGGAATGGCCTCCAACCTAATAGCAATGGCCTCCAACCTAATAGCGATGGCCTCCAACCTATTAGCCATGGCCTCCAACCAACCTAATAGCGAGCTAGCGATGGCCTCTAACCTATTAGCCATGGCCTCCAACCAAATAGGAATGGCCTCCAACCTAATAGCGATGGCCTCCAGCCTAATAGCGATGGCCTCCAACCTAATGGCGATGGCCTGCAACCTATTAGCCATGGCCTCCAACCAAATAGGAATGGCCTCCAACCTAATAGCGATGGCCTCCAAACCAATAGCGATGGCCTCCAGCCTAATAGCAATGGCCTCTAACCAAATAGCGATGGCCTCCAACCTAATAGCGATCGCCTCCAACCTATTAGCCTTGGCCTCCAACCCATTAGCCATGGCCTCCAACCTACTAGCGATGGCCTCCAACCTACCCGGCGGTGGCCTCCAACCTGCTAGCGATGGCCTCCAACCTGCTAGCGATGGCCTCCAACCTGCTAGCGATGGCCTCCAACCTAATAGCGATGGCCTCCGACCTGATAGCGATGGCCTCCAACCTATTAGCCATGGCCTCCGACCTGCTAGCGATGGCCTCCAACCTGAAAAGGCGGGGGAGCTTCCTTGAAGAAGCATGAGCTATTCTGCGTCCTACCTAGGAGCTTACTTACAGGTAGTAGCTACGTCTCCCTACTAGCTACCTAGCTACCTCCACTTGCGGCCTACCCTCCCAAAAAATGAAAAACACTTTCCAGCTCTGCTCGCAGTATCGGCTTGCGCCCGCTGTGACCCCTGTGGTACAAGTTCAGAACGTGTAGGAGCGATTTTTCTCTGTATCCTTTGAACCTGGGCCGCACATTTCACTCTCTAACACTGAGATAGCTGAACTACAGGATGTAGCGTGAGCAACTCTGGATTCGAGAGCAAAACGGTTGCAGCCTCGCCACATGATTTGTCTATCTCGCAGCATCTTCGCCACATCTCGCGATGAGGAGCCGCTAATCTGGCGCAGTTCAGATCTTAAACTCAAGGTTTCTCTTCAATTACTTTTCTGTTCCTGTTTTTTGAGACCGTTCTTTTCCTGCCTTTTGTTACTTATCTGGTGCAGTTGATGGGGTCTTAAACTGGACTCAAATCCCTGGAGGCCCTTGCATTCCCGAGGCTCACCAGGATTTGTCAGGGTTCATCATGTTCAAACATATTCAAACAAAGGAAAACACGCGATCAGAGATCAAAAGCCTCAATGAAATACTTGGAGAAAATTGCGCATGAAAAGAGCCTTGGCAACTGTGTGGCGACTGCAAAGCCTTCGAGAGTGTCATGCTGTCGAGAGCTGTACTCTGAGCAGCCGACACAAAGAGGATGTAGCAAAAGGCGTGCAAGGGATCCTCAGCTTTCAGAGCAATTAAGATTCTGTATCAGAACGAGGAAAACGGGGGTTTGGTGAGTCATCAAGTAGCGTCAGAAGCTAAGTAGCTCCCCGGGTAGTCTTGAGAAACATTTAGCGGCTTTATGCTGCTTTCCTCAGCAAAGTCTCTTTGCGCCCGAAATAAAACTACAGTAACGATTCTTGAAAAAAGCTTTCCCATGCTCCCATGCTCTCCAACTTTCCCAAATCCATCACTGTCAGAATAGCCACTTCCACGATATTTGAGAAGTCATTGGGCGGTGAGATGTAGTAGGCCAGCCCTGCACATGAAGGGCTCATGGCTGGTATCGACTTTCAAGCTGCAGGTCTTCCGTTACTAAGAAGCTTCAAAGACATACTATATAAAAGTGTTTTGTTACTAGAAGTGAAACAATTCCCAGTGAAACGACTCCCAAGGAAGCTTCATTCTAAAAAGTTTCTTGTTACTAAGAAGCTTCAAACACTTTCCCTAGTTTTTGTTTTTCAGTTTCAGTTTCAATGTTGATTTGCTCTCTCTCTCTCTTCTCCTCCAATGGGAATGGACTCGCCGCCATAATCTAAGTCTTGCCACTGTCCCAGCAAGTTCACCAGCATGTTCGACTTAAACCTGAGCCCAGGCTTGGCGACCTGATACAAAGAAAACATATTGCAATTAAATAAACCTAGAAGAAATGGCCTCCACCCTAGTAGCAATGGCCTCCACCCTAGAAGCAATGGCCTCCACCCTAG